TATTATATTATATTATATTATATTATATTATATTATATTATATTATATTATATTATATTATTATATTATTATATTATTATATTATTATAATTATATTTATATTATTATTATTCTTATTATTCTTCTTATTCTAACTATTCTTATTATTAGCATTTATATTATTATAATAATATTATTAGTGTGCGTTGTATGTATGCATTGCATGTCCTTATCCCTCACCCATTAATATATCTATTAACAATATATATATATATATATATATTTATTTATTTATTTATATTAATTTATTAATTTAAGTTGCTTGTCTTTTTATCTTTTCTTTAGGAGTTAAAACGCAGAAAATTAGTTGAGCAAAAAAAACTAAAGTTTAATTTGGTGGCGAAGGGCCCCAAATTTTGCCTCGAAATTTCAAAGCCTTTGGCGGACATCGATGCTAAATTAATCGCCACTGACGAGTGGAAACAAAAAGGTCATTAGGCTTTAGGGTTTAGGGTTTAGGGTTTAGGGTTTAGGGTTTAGGGTTTGAGAGCGAGGATTTAGGGTTTTCAAGGGGAAAAGGGGGAGGGTTTAGGGGTTAGGGTTTATGGGGTAGGGCTTATGGAATAGGGTTTAGGGTTTAGGGTTTAGGGTTTAGGGTTTAGGGTTTAAGGTTTAAGGGCTAGGGTTTATGATTTAGGGTTTAGGCGTCGGTTATTAGGGTTTGGCGTGGAGTGTGGGTTTAGGGTTTACGGTTTTAAGGTTTTGGAGGGGCTAGGGTTTACCCCGTAGGGTGTATCGATAAGGGTTTAGGGTTTGGGTGCAGCAAAAAGGACTGAGAACTATTGAGGGTTTAGGGTTTAGGGTTTAGGGTTTGTGTGCATGGGTGTTCGTTGTCAGAGTTGAAACCCTACAACTTCTTTGCTAGCGGCAAGCGCTTGAGAAGGGGGGCCCCTCACCCTCTTATGCTTGTGCAGAAGCAGTTTAAGCACGTCCTAACCACTATGGGCTTTGAGGTAGGGTTTAGGGTTTAGGGTTTAGTGTTTAGGGTTTGGGGTTCCCCCGGGAGGCTTATGGGTAAGGCCGGCTTCTTCCCGGTGGCCTCTCACTTCTGCTGCTGCAGCAGCAGCAGCAGCAGGTGTTTGCTGCTGCTGTTGCTGCTGCTGCTGCTGCAGGTGGCCTGAGATAAGCTGCTATTGTATGTGTGGCTAGTTGGGGCCCTTGGGTCCCGTCTTATGCATGCACGCATGTATGAATGAAGCAGCGGCCACATGCATGCCGGCCTCTTTGGGGCTTTTTGCATGCATGCATTGCATGCATGCAAAATGCCCCAAAAGCGCCAAAGCATGCAAACGTACATGGAAAAGGCCCCAAAGAGGCTTGCATGCATGCATATATGAATATATATATATATATATATATATATACATATATATAATTATATGTTTTTGCGTGTTGTTTGTTTAGGAGATGGATACTAATCAATTCGTAGACCCTTCTTTTTGGTGTTTTGACTCCCTCTACATGCCGCAGCAACACCCTGCTAGAGACGCACAAGACACATTCTTCATTCAGGTGCTACACAGGGTCTAGGGTTTAGGGTTTAGGGTTTAGGGACGAGGGTTTACGTATTGGGTTGAAGGGGGGGTGTTTAGATGACGGTACATTGGCAGTGGGTGTTGGGTTGAGGGCTCGGCAGTGCGGAAGGCACTAAAATTATCAAGGGTTTAGGGTTTAGGGTTTAGGGTTTAGGGTTTGGGTGTTTCAGAGCCCCGAAAAGAGCAACGCTTCGCTGCTGCCAGCTTCATTTGTCTCTGCCGTCAAACAAATGCACGAAAAAGGCGGCAGCGGATCTACAGGCTGGGGATACAACTGGTGAGTGTGGGGCTTGGGGTTTAGGGTTTAGGGTTTAGGGTTTAGGGTTTACACGGGACTGCATGCAGCCATGCACACACGGGGCTGCATCAAGAGTGAGGGTCAGGATGCGCCCCACACCTCCTTTGTCGGATGTCTGTACACTGCAGACGCTCTCTCCAGCCGGGCTGCGTGCATGCATGCAGAGTAGCAGAAGGAGGCGCTAAACCCTAAACCCTTGTGCGGTGTCTTTGAGGGTTTTCAGGTCTTTAGATGAATCCCTAAGAAATGTTATGCGCACTCACACCACCTCCGTCTCTGCTCGCATGCTCTACCAAATGGCCCAGGAGTGCAAGGAGGTCTGCTGCTGCTGCTGCTGCTGTTGCTGCTGCTGCTTTGTTGTTGCTGCTGTTGCTGTTGTTGCTGCTGTTGTTGTTGCTGTTGCTGCTGCTGTTGTTGTTGCTGCTGTGGCTGCTTCGGCTGCTGCTGCTGTTGTTGCTGCTGTGGCTGCTGCGGCTGCTGCTGCGGTGGCTGCTGGTTGGTGCTAGTGTTGTTGCTGCTGCTGCCGGTGTTGCTGTTGCTGCTGCTGCTGCTGCTCGTCTTAAGGCCTCGCGCCTGCGTCAGCGAGAGCAGCAGCAGCAGCAGCAGCAGGAGGCGGAGTCTGTGGAGCTCTTGAGAGTGCTTTGGAACCCGGTCTCTTGTGGAGTTGAAGGGTTTAGGGTTTAGGGTTTAGGGTTTGTGCTGCAGACGGGGGTCTTTAGGCCCCGGAAGCTCTTCTCTATCGACCGCGTCTTCCGCAATGAAAATTTAGATGCAACGCATTTAGCGGAGTTCCACCAAGTAAGCAAACCCTAAACCCTAAACCCTAAACCCTAAACCCTAAGCTATTGGCTCTGAACATTTGCGGGGGTGGATGTTAGGGTTTAGGGTTAAGCGTATAACGGCCTTCTTTGCATGCGCATGAAGAAGAAGAAAGTAAATAAAAAACAAAGATACTGATGCCTTGGGGTGTATGCGCAGGTAGAGGGGGTTGTAGCAGATAAAAATCTCTCCCTCGGGCACCTCATGGGGGTGATGGAGACATTTTATAAAGCGATTGGCATTGAAAAACTTCAGTACGTTTGCTCTCACCGGTTTAGGGTTTAGGGTTTAGGGTTTAGGGTTTAGGGCTTAGGGGCGGGCGGTGAGGACTAGGGTTTTCAAGACCGCGCCAGGCTTACTAGGGTTTAGGGTTTAGGGTTTGCAATTTGAAGTCAGGTAGGGTTTAGAGCTTGGCGTTAAGGAGTAGGATTTGCAAGGCCGTTACAAGCGTAGTAGGGTTTAGGGTTTAGGGTTTAGGGTTTAGGGTTTGTGGTTTGAGCTCAGGTTTAAACCAACATTTAACCCCTACACCGAGCCCTCAATGGAGATCTTCGGGTATCATCCTGGGCTGAAACGGTGAGGCAGCAACTGGCTGTTTAGGGTTTAGGGTTTAGGGTTTAGGGTTTAGGGTTTAGGCATGCAAGTGCAGCATTGCTTGCTATGTTTATTGCCATTATAGCAGCAGCTCCTTTGCTCTATTCGGGTGAAGACGAATAAAAACAAAAAAACAAATAAATAAACAAAGAAATAACTAAATAAACAAACAGACAAACAAACAAACAAAGAGCAGAGACAAACAAACAAAGAAAAAGAAAGAGATTAATAGGAAGAAGAGTGTCTCCGTTCTATTCCCTGCATTTTGGAGACATCTTTGTGGGGTGTCTCTTTGCATGTGCATCTGCATGCATTTGTCTCTTTAAGGGTTTATTGCGTTTAAAGGGCGACAAGTACAGTAGCTATATTATCTCTTTAAGCATGCATATAATTTAATGTATATTATATATTACTATATCTTTTGTTGTGTCTTGTGGCTCTAAGGTTTGATATGTCTTTTTATTGTTTATTTCTTCTTTAAATACAGTTAATTGCTGAGGTGTCTGTCTCCTTTTATAGTATACATTTCTTCTCTAAATAGAGTTATTTGCTGAGGTGTATGCTGAGGTGTCTGTCTCCTTTTCTTGCACATATTTCTTTAAATGGAGCTAATTGCTGAGGTGTATGCTGAGGTGTCTGTCTCCTTTTCAGGTGGATTGAAGTGGGTAACAGCGGCATGTTTAGGCCTGAGATGCTGCGGCCAATGGGGCTTCCTGAAGATGTCTCCGTTATTGCGTGGGGACTGTCTCTAGAGCGGTGAGCGCAAAGGAGACACTGCAGCAGCAGCAGCAGCAGCAGCAACAGCAGTAGTAGTAGTAGTAGTAGTAGTAGTAGTAGTAGTAGTAGTAGTAGTAGTAGTAGTAGTAGTAGTAGCGGGGGCAGCAGCAGTAGTATATAAACTCTTTTTCAATGTATAATATATAGTAGGGAGACAAAGGGCATTAAGGAGACAGTTGGATAGGGAGACAGATGAATAGGAGACAGCAGTCTTTGTTATTGTTGCTTCTGTCTCCTTTGGTGTCTCTTCTTGTCTCCGTTTCTTTTGTCTCCGCGTGCTGGTGTCTGTCTATGCCTCTTTTTATGTTTTCTCTGCTCTGTCTCTCCTTGTCTTTAAGGCTATTTGCTTTGTCGCCTTTTAAATGTATCTTTTCTTTATCTTCTGCTGTCTCCTGCATGCATGCGTGCATGCATGCAGCCCCACAATGATCAAGTACGGCATCAGCAACATTCGCGAGCTCTTCGGGCCCAAGGCCCTCTTAGGCGGGGTCTAGAAGAGGGCCCTTGACAGCCTGGGGGCCCCCCCAATTCACTAAGCAGCAGTGGGGGCCCCTGGGGGCCCCCGGGGCCCCCAACAGTACCCTCCTTACAAGCACAGGCCCGTGCTAGGGGCCCTCCATTGCGTCCACCTGGCAGCTGTCTCTTCAGCAGCAAAAATATTTTACAGACAGAAAGAGACAGGTGGGGGGCCCCCGGGCGCATGCAGCAGCAGGGGTTTATAGTGTCTTTATTGGGGGGGCCCCCAGGACGAGGCCTCCCCAGCGAAGCTGGGGGCCCCCTCTTTGATTTATCTAACCTTCTCTTTTACCTTAATGTGGTGTATAGGCACCTCAGCAATATGATTTTCTGTTTCTTTCGCGTTTGGGGCCTCCCGCACTGAGCTCTGAACAACTAGGGTTTAGGGTTTATTCCAAAGTTTAGGGTTTACGCTCATACCTAGGGTTTAGGGTTTATTCTAGGGTCAAGGGTTTACTCTAGGGTTTAGGGTTTTGACTACGGCCTATGGGTAACTCTAGGGTTTACGGCTTAGTCTAGGGTTTAGGGTTTAGGCTAGAGTTTAGGGTTTAAGCCGTCTCTGGCTTTGCGCCTTATAATAAATTCCAGAGGGGGCCCCCATGAGGGGCCCCTACGAGTTGGGGGGCCCTCTAGGGGCCCCTCTCCGAGTTGGGGGGCCCTCTAGAGGGCCCCGTTCAAGTTGGGGGGTCCTCTAGGGGGCCCCGGAGTTGAGTAGGCCTTTGCTTTGCATGCAAATAGACTCTGATTTTAACAAACCTAATGGTAAGGGCCCTTAAAAGACAGGGTCCCCAAGGCCCCAGCAGCGTAAGCCAACAGGGGGCGCACACGGGGGGCCCCCAGGACTATGGGAGCCTCCATAAAGAGGGGCCCAGGGGGCCCCCAGGGCCTCAAAGCCCTCCATCCGAGGGCCCCAAAGGGGCCCCTTCAGGAGGGGCCCAGAGGGCCCCCCTTGGGCCAGGGGTACCCTGGGCCCTAAGGCCACGGGGGAGCCCCGTGGGGCCCTGGGGGGCCCCCTTTGGGCCGTGGAGAGGGGAGGCTCTAGACCCTGGGGCCATGGGGGGCCCCCTGGGCCCCCATGAGGGCCCCGTGGGCCCCCACGAGGGTCCCCTGGGCCCCCACCAGGGCCCCATGGGGGCCCCACAAGGTCACCATGGGGGCCCCACGGGGGTCTACGGGGGCCCCACGGGGGCCCCCATAGGGTACAAAGGGGATTCATAGGCGCCCCCTGAGAGCCCCCCTTGTGTGGGGTTTCTTAGGTTTCTTACGTTGCTGTTTAAACCGTAAAGCCTAAACCGTAAACCCTAAGGGTTTAGGGTTTATGAGTTGAGGTGTGTTGATGGTTTAGGGTTTTATTAGGTTGGTGTGTCTTGCTGCTGCTGCAGTTTGTCTTTAGCAGCAATTAAAAGAAGAAGGGTTTGATGGGTCCGTTGATAAAAGCTCTTCAACACAGCGAGCATAGGCTCGATATCTGTCTCTGAGGGGTCTCTGTTAAGGGCCCCCCAGGTGTCTATACACCCCAAATCCCCGTCTATGCGGCCCCACACCAACCCTAAACGGAGACACTTCACCACTAACTCCTCCACCTCCAACTCCGTTAGATATGCCTTCCCTGCTGCTGCATCTGCTGCTGCTGCACCTGCTGCTGCTGTATCTGCTGCTGCTATATGTGTTGCTGCTGCTGCTGTATGTGCTGCTGCTGCTGCTGTATCTGCTGTTGCTGCTGCTGCAACTGCTGCTGCTCTACCTGCTGCTGCTGCTGCATCCGCTGCTGTTGCATCTGCTGCTGCTGCTGCATCTGTTGCTCCATCTGCTGCTGCTGCATCTGTTGCTGCTGCTGCTGCTGCACCAGAGACGCTTAGAGGGGAATTGCTTGCAGGCTCCCCCCCCAACATATCTGGTGTGGGCCCCTCCTTGGGGGCCCCTGCATGCATTGTAGGGGCCCCCATTTGTTCGCAGCATCCAGGGGCCTCCAAATCTTTCTGAAGATCTTTAAAAGAGACACGTGAGGAGACAGAGCAGCGAGAGACAATAGTTAGCAGCCTCAGCTTCTGCAGCAGCAAAGGGGGTATAGGGGCCCCCTGAAGTTTTTTATTCATCTCTACAAGATCTCCGACAGTGCCAGAGGCCAGCAAACGCAGCAGATAGACAGCACGGGGGCCCCCTTCTACACAAGGGGGCCCCTCAACACAACCTGAGGTGCTCTCTAATTGCTGCACATTCTCTAACGCAAGCAGTTCCCCATAAACAAAGACATCCGGATGCAGCAGGGCCTCCTCTATAACCTGCAGCAGCTCAGACCCACTTGAGGCCCTAGCGCGACACACAAAGTCATCAAGGGGCCCCTTGGGGGGCCCCCCAGGGGGGCCCACAGGGGGCCCCCCGAGGGCCCCCAAGGGGGTGTCTTTGGGGCCCCTGAACATTCAGAGTAGATATTCGGTTACAGAGAATAAGAAAAGCAGAAGAAGACTATGGGGAGGCTGCTGCTGCTGCTGCTGCTGCTGCTGTTGCTGCTGCTGCTGCTGCTGCAGCGACTAAGGGGCCCCCCAGAACAGCAGCGAGAGACAGTCTACGGGGTTAAAACAAGAAGAATGAAAGTTGTGAAGAATATTAAAAGATTAAAATAACAACGAGATTAGGGGGCCCCCTCTAAGAGCTCAGGGGGCCCCCTGTTGCTGCAGGCAGACAAACGGGGGGCCCCCCGAAGCTGCAGCGTCGCGCGCGTGGAGTTGCTGCTGCTGCTGCTGCTGCAGCTAGTCGCCTTCTAAGGATAAACTAAATATTTTATTGAGTTATTTTATTATATTAGTTATTAGAAACAATAAAAAACAAAGAAGAATATATATTTACTTATAGTATGTTCACCCCAGCACACCACACAGACAACCTGCTCCGGGGGCCCCTTATTACGTGTTTGTTTGTTGCTGTATGTACAGCATAGATATATTAATATTATTATTTTATATATAATATTAAATATAACTAATTATATATCTATTTAAATAAACATTTAAACAAAAATAATATAAATACCGGTTCAAGCACCCCTCCACGTCTATACGCAATCCCTACTTGTCTCTCTTTCTTCTGTCTCCTCAGCAGCACACACACACCTTCTGCTGCTGCTGCTGCTGCTGCTGCTGTCTCCTTCTTGCCTAAATAATATTCCTTTAAACCCTTTTTAATATCTTTTCTTCTTAATGCTTCTCTCAAGGACGCACACACCATGAAGACAGAAGCAATAATATGCAAGGCAGCAGTAGCCTTCGCCCCCGATGAGCCCCTTAAGGTTAGACAAACACCACAAAACTACAAAGGGCCCCAGGGGGCCCCCAGGGCGACCCCAAAAGACCCTAAATGCAGCTTACAGGGGGCACTAGAGGACCCTAAAAGCAGCCTACAGTGGCCCCCCAAGAGACCCTAAAGGGAGCCTAAAGGGGGCCCCCAAAGGACCCTAAATGGAGCCTAAAGGGGGCCCCCAAAGGACCCTAAAGGGAGCCTAAAGCGGGCCCCCAAAGGACCCTAAAGGGAGCCTAAAGGGGGCCCCCAAAGGACCCTAAAGGGAGCCTAAAGGCGGCCCCCAAAGGACCCTAAAGAGAGCCTAAAGGGGGCCCCCAAAGGACCCTAAATAGAGCCTAAAGGGGGCCCCCAAAGGACCCTAAAGGGAGCCTAAAGGCGGCCCCCAAAGGACCCTA